TGGTGTCCTCCTCCTTGTTGAACATGCCTCTAATGGGAGGCATCCTGTTTTCCTGAACGACTTAAATGAGAAGGAGCTCCCTGGCCTGGGACCCAAATCCACATCTAAATCATGTTCTTCTAGTCAGGTTGGGTCCTGTTGTTTTGCTGCAGGTTTCAGCCTGTACATCAGCATGTCTCGAAAATATATGAACGTGAAATGGAAGAAGAAAGTGCAGGGAATAAACAGACATGTACTGCTGCTTTGCTTTTCCTCTGCTCTGAACACGGCCTTTTAGCCCTGTGTGAAAGGAAATCGCAGCCTCCTCATTCATCTGCATCCTCATTCACATTCCTGCTAAATTACTTTGTAACATGATGGTATTTTTCCAATGTTTACCTTGTTATCGCCCAGAGGAAAGATAAGATAATCACCGCTGTAAAAACTTTGCAGGGTCAGTTCAGACCTCCAGTGACTTGTCCTCTCAGCCCCATCATCAGACCACAGCTTCCACTGGCACATGAGAAATATCAAAGAAATATCAATTTCATGGAAGAATGGCATGAAATTAAGAACATTCACGCTCCTGCTGTTAATGATCCAGGGCAAAGTCACTGGTTTTATTTATTTGGCTTTACGTCATTTGACTTTTTTTTTCTTGTTATTTTTATGATAAAACAATCAAGTATTTAGAATTGAGTTAGTTTAAAGTATTAAAACTGTTCCTGGACATAAATAACAATAAGAACAAGTTTTCTTTTCACTGCAGTCGGAGTCAGGGAGCTTTGAAGTGAATTTATGACGGAAACATTTCACAACCTTGGCGTGTAATGTCATCACAGTGCAGCGTGTTAACATATCTCCCGCATACATACAGCCTGTGAGTGTGTTATATATTCTACTCACTGATTGGCTGCCTGTGTTTCGGCTGTGGTGACTTCATCCAATGAGCGAGGTGAGTTATGAGACAAGAAACTCAGCGGTCAGCCTGTTGCGTCATGATGGAAAGAGCCGCAAACCAGAACCTTTGAAACACAAGAGTTGTGTCAGTGGAAGGAGTGAATGAAGAAACTGAGAGGATGATGACACAATATCGAAATGTAACATAAAATAAATCCCATCTGTGATCATGAAAAATCTCATTTCAACAACATTTTTATATCAAACTTACAAAGTAGCTTCACCGCTGAAAGACCAACACAGAAAGAAATTAACAACCATATCCTCATAATACGAATATTCATTTTTAGCTGGTAATTTTGAACATTTGCTCCTTAGCACTGAACACAAAATACAGCTGAGGCTGATGGGAAGGTCACTGATTTTGCAGGAATTTGATCATAAGAGTGATAGAAATCACCCTGTGAGGAACATGAATGTCTGTAACTGTACATTCAACAGCTGTGGAGACATTCTCCCCGAGGATCAACAAGGTAAACAAGATTCATCCCCTGGAGAACAGGAATGTGCTAAATTTAGTGTCGGTCCATTGAGTCGACTCCGACACGTCACATTGAATAACAGAAAACTTTATTCAGCTGAGTGCTCGAGAACAAACGTCACCGAGAGTCATCATCTGGGGAACATGAACATCTGCACAAAGATGTTTGAAACTGGAACAAAGTGGTTGACGGATTATTATTGATAATAAAACCACACTATAAAAGTATAAAGTATAAAGTAAAAACAAAAGTCCTGTATTTTCCAACTTAATTCCTGGAATTTTTCCAAGTAATATCTGTTAAATCGGCTGATATTCAGCCATAAATTACTAAAATATTTACAAGGAAGTCTGAGACAATTTGGTACTAATATAAGGGGAAATTGTGAAAGTGTTAGTTGTTACATTTTAAGAAAAAAATAGTAAATTATGTGGCAAGTAAGTGAAGAAATAGTTGTAATGCAATTTAATTTAAAAAGCATGCAATTTAGCATAAATGCAGCATAAATGTCAGTTAACTGAATATTTACCATGTGACCAAGCAGAGATATGATGTATGGCATGAAGAAATTTCCTGTTTTTCTTAAAAACTTGAACTAACAGTTTCTCCATTTCCCCCATAATAAGGACCAAACCGCCTGGAGGTCTGTCTTAAAAATATCCTCGTCATCAGCTCAGTACCTGCCAAACTGTGTTACCAACGCTGCTACAGAAACAACATAAACGACCAGAGAAACAGCTGCTGTTGCTTTGTTTCCTTGTTCCTCTTAGTGTTTTGTTTTTCAAAGCACTGACTCAGTATTTTTCATATCTCCGAGCAACAGCTGAAGAGAAATGAGGCTGAAGCTGAAGTCACAGTGAGAGGTTGCTGGAAAAATTGACCAGACTCTTATTATGCACGGCTCTGGCTCAGGGAAAGTCTGGCGATCTGAGAGGTGGGGAAGGTGAAGAGCTCCCACTCTGTTTACATTTCCAGACACTATCACCACCACCGCACAAAGAAAAGAAGATACTTCCTTTGTTCTTACTGAATTAGAATTGGCTGGAAAGTTAAGTTTAACAACAGTTTAAGTAAATAGCACACTGAGACACTGACCTCACTGCACACTAACACAACAATGCAAAGTCTGGGCTGTCAAGTGATGTAACACACCTCCGGCAGCCATACTGGAGGAACTCACCTGAGATTAACTGCTGCCTGTCTCTGGATCATCTCACTGATCCTGTTTGTAGATCATGTTTTTAACCTGTGTCTGGTGTCCTTGTGTTTTTTAAGGGTCAAAGGTTAACCTGTCTCATTCAAGGCTGTGACGTCAGTCAGAAGTAAGACATGATCAGCATCTCGACGGGTGCGTGTCTTCCTGTCTGAACTGTAGTCTGTAAGTGGATTTTTACATTGATTATCTCACTATCTCTTATTAGTTACATCACATGCAGGTGAATGGTGCAATGCTCCTGGTGCCTTTTCACCTCTTTACCTTTGCCGTCATCAATCACTGATACTGTGACTGTGACATTTAAAAAATCCAACTGTAATAGATTGATAGACAAATAAAATACAATTATTAGAGCCAGGCCTCTAGTTTTACTTCTTCTTCTGTGTCTTTGTGTTCACCCTTCCCCCGTTTCTCCCATGAGTCCTTGTCTGTTCCTTAAAGCTCCTCATCCTGCAGTATATCAACTCCGCCTCCAGCTCCATGCCTTTGTAGTGCTCTGATGTTCGTAGTGAACTATTTCCTCATGCTCCAGGATCATTACTCACATGCCTGCTTACCTGCTCTCCAGCGCACTTCCCCCTGCTGCCTCCAGAACTGCCCCTGCCTGCCCTCAGCCTGCCCTCAGCCTCAGCCGGCAGCCTCCCCGCTTGTTCGTACCGCGACTCCCCGCTGCCCTTTCAACAAATCCTCTTCTTTCATCTCACTCCAAAGTCTGTGTCTGTGTTTGGGTTCACACTGCCAATTACAACAACTGCAGTGTTACCGCAGCCAAGTCATATAAATCACAAAAACAAATGAGGTGGAGCAGAAACAGATACAATAAAAAAGCCAAATAAATGAATAAATATACTAAAGTTGGGATATGTAAGGAAATATAAGGACTTGGCTGGACTGAAATAAATTATTTGAGGGTAAAATTCACAGACAAAAAACGTTAGCAAGCTCAGGTTTTACATTTAGTTAGTTATAAAAAAGTTTAAAGTTGTTACATTCAGGTATTAAATCCATATTTAAAAACATGTTTGTTGTCTCTTTAATGCTATATTGCTATTCTTATTCTTTATTAACACTATCAATAACCAAAAAAGTGGCGGTGTGGCAACTTTTCACTGCTATTTTATGGGTTTCCATAGAAAGAAATAGAATTAAATGCTTATTCAAATGTTTTTTTAACTATGATTTCTTGACCTCTGCCTCCTTTTCTGTCAATAGCAACAAGTAAAACTGAACTGGTACAAATTGAACAAATCATTACCAGTTGTGTGTTTTACTACAGCACTTGAAGTGATACAGAGTAAACGAGGCCAAATAAAGACTGTATTTTACACTGTTATGTGTTTTGTAATCACATGTGTTGGCAACCATTGTTCATGTGTTGACAGTGAAAATGATTAAAAATTATAACATGAGCTGCCTGTAATTACATTTATTAAAATGCTGTAAAAAGTAGATCATTTTGTTAATGATGGAAGAATATTCTCCCTTCCCTTTTTTGAGAAAAATAGAATAAAAGAAAATGAATAAATAAATAAAACAACAAATGAGCAACACATATAAACTAAAACAATAAAAATAGACCAGTAAACTAGATTTTTACCCAGAATCCATGTACAAGGCCAGAACATGGAGGACAAGTCACAGCCGATATTCTTTTATTTAGTCCAAATTTACAACAAATATGTAAATAATTAAATTTTGCCAAATGATATGGTGGTAACCTGGGATTGGCTGGATTAACTAACTAGTTTCTCAGTTGTGAATATTTGCCAGTTTCCTTTGATAGTAAACTCAATATATTTGGGTTTTTCACAGTTTGTTGGATAAAACAAGCAATTTGAATGAATTCATATGTTTTTCATTATTTATTTATTATATTGTTTTTTAATTTTTTTTATCCATTATTTCATATTATTCATTTCTTTCTGACATTTTATTACTGAACCATCCACGTATTAGCCTTACAGTCCACGTTTTCTGTGTGTTCATGACAGAAATAAGTCTGACAAACTTGTGAACAATTAAATTACAATTATCCACATGATGCCAGGTAACCCCTGACACGTCTGGGGCCCCTGGGGGTCAGAGGTTCCTGGGCAGTAGCTTGGTTGGTGGTCGAGTCTCAGGGGAGCCAGAGCTGTTATCAAACAGTCGACTCTCGGCTGCCTCCGTCCACTCCCCTGGGTCATACCCAAGCCGCCATCTCGCAGCCATAGACGATCTTTGTTTTATTATATGTCAGGCGGATTGGGGAGGAGGGAACTGCCGGCGGGGACGCTGCTGATTGGTCGACAGGTCGAACTGCGTGTAGCGGTATATAAGCTGTGAATGCGCAGCTCGAAGCGGCAGCTGGAGGCTGGTGTGACACATGCTCGGAAGAAGTCGGATAGAAAAGGACAAAGAGAAATGACAGAGTGAGACTCTGCTACAGAGGAACACAAGAGAAAGATCATATTATCTGTTGATCTGAAGGGCTCGAGCAGCGGGAAGAGGACGCAGGGTTCATCTGTGAGTAACCTTCATCTATCCTATACATAGCGGCGCGTGCGTGCAACGCATGTGGTGGCTTTACAAATGAGTCAGTGTCGCGTTATTACGCTCGATCTATGCGTTAGTTGTGCGTTGAGGGTGCGCGGCGGGTGCAGGTCTCTGTCCCCAGCTCTCACTGACGTGATGTGAGTCATGCAGTTCACCGGGTGGATGGAGGGGTGGGTGGTCTCTGCACAGACACACTGACGGTCTGGTTACACGTCCAGTCACACACTGGGACGTCTCCCACTGCTTCCTGCTAAATTTGGCCAATAGGCTCACTGGATAATCTATTTTGGAATTATTATTAGGTGCAGTGGTGGAGAAAATGTTGAATTTTCCACAAAAGAAAAAGTAACAATATCACAAAACACTGTTATACAAGTACAATTCAAACTGTATTCAAAATGCAGTTCAGCTCCCACCCTCTGGATTTGTCCTGCTACAGCCAGCCCTTCTGTGCTGGAACATAACTATTATTAGTTTATATCATAATTTGGTTAAACACAACTTTATTTAGAGATATATCCCAGTATGAACTAGAGCAAATTAAAGAGTTTTACACAGGGCACAAAGACTGATAATTAGCTAATTATCAAAGTGGATTTGTGGTAGTACAAATAACATCAAGACAAATTGTCAGAAAGATGGATGTATTTGGCCCCTGGGCAGTTGAATGGTTACTATAGCAACCCAGCCTTCACTTAAACTGTCAAAAGTAAAAGTAAACATCATGCAAAATACCGCAGTTGAGAGTTTTTGTTTATCATGTGCTGTGTGGGAATATTATCTCCAGTGCATTAATGTGTAAGTATCATTTAAATGTTGTTAAGGTGGAGCTAATTTTAACGACTTTAGTTGCCTTGGGTTACTTACATCTACCACAGTGCAAAAATATTGTACTAACTGAATGTGTTCTAGATGTAAAATGAATTAATCAATTAATCTGAAAGGAGAACAGTGACTGTGAAATGATTTCAGTGGAAATAGAAACAGTGTTTCCTCATAATGTGAAAATCTCAAGTCCACAAATCTCAAAACTGTATCTCAGCACTAAATGTATGTAGTTACTTTGTGGCGCGGGTTTGTTATTGAACAGTGCGTTTTAACTGCAGAGATGTAGTGCCCCCCCCACCCCCCACCACCACCACCCCACTTGTGTGGTAACGACTGTCTGATTTACAACCCTTTACATTTGTAAATGTAAGGGATTCAGCTGCGTCTCTGTAGACTGAACTTTAGGTCAATGGTCAACAACCTTTTTGCTTACAAATGAAGCAACAGCTACACGTGTCTTCATCGTAGTTCATGTCCTCAGCGGGAGCGTTTCAGATCCTGCAAAGGTTAAGGAAAGGGAATTCCTAACTCTTCTACCTCTTTAATCGTCTTGGGACCCCTCGACCTTGGGGGGGCCAGCCCATAGTCGAGTAATTATGTTTCATGTCCTTAAATCACCAAAATTACAGGAGACCAACAGGATGGGGGTCAGAGGTCGCAGGTAGCATCCAGAACCACGATAATCCACTTCAAAATACACTTATAAATTATTGTTAATGACCAATAAATGAATCATTTAGTCCATAAAAAGTGAACAACATCGATCACAGGGTAACATTTTAAATTGTCCAGTTAACAATATCAGCAAAAGCAACAAATCGTCCCAGTGACTGTTTATTTAAATGACTTTCCAGTGATCCAAATATTTTGTAATGTAATCTACTACCCATTGACTGATTGACTTACCCATTCAGCACAGAGCTTTTAATGCTTTGTTATTACTACACGTTGGTCTATTAGGCTCATGAGAAACAATTTGTCTCTTCTCTAGACCTTTGGCAGTCTCCACAGATTCCTGTGGGCGTTTAGTCGTTCACTTGGCAGATAATCAAAATCTCATTAGCCGTCTGGCCGGTGCAGATGGCTGATGGGCCGGGCCGCAGCCGCAGGACGAGTTCAGGACAGCGTCTGTACAGGTGCCATATGGAGCGTTTCTGAAGTGTTGGCCAGCGTTAGAGACGGAGCCACGGGGGCGTGACTTAAAATGTGAGACGACTTGAATTAAAAGCGGCAAACCGTGTGTTTCTTAAATCAACATCTGCAGCTGGATCAGACCTCGGGCAGAGAAACACGACTCCCGTGAGAGTCACATTGGCGACTGGGGCTGGATCTCATTTTTGATGTTGAGTCAGAGTTCATTCACTGGATGAATACGGGAAGAAGTGAAGGTCACATGGGAAGCAGACACTGGGATGTTCACCATCTCCAAAGCTTTTTGCCGTTCTTGTGAAACCCTGACTCAAGTTATCGGACAGAGATTGTTTGTCTTTCAGTCATAGTGCAGATATAATGCAGCACCTTAGTTTTAGTAGTAGGAGGAAGTGCTGTATCATTACTGTCAAGGTTGTTTTTATCTGTGAGTTGATTATATGTCACACCTGGTGATTACTGCAGGTAACAAATGAAGAAGGGCAAACGAAATGTGCATGAAAAGACCTGTTCCACTGCTTGATCGTCTCCTGATGAAGTGTCATCTAATTAGGGCCAGAAAATATTTCAGTTGTCAAACACAAAATCAGTTTGAGGTGGAATTGAAAACAGGAAGAACTGAAGGAGGCCGCACCGATCGTATCAGTCCAGTTTAATCAAACGTATGTGATTAAAACTACAGTAAGTTTATGGTTTTCATTTGGAGCTGTTGGTGTTTTATTAAAGGGTCAGTCGCACAAAATCATCGCGAGATATTTTCCTATTTTCCCGGCTGGTGTGGAGCTGGACACCACAACTGATTTGCTTCCTTGATGCACAAAGTGTCGCAAAATAACATTTAGGAAATCTTGGAGCAGACGGTCAAGTGGGAAAAGTGACTGATCCTTGAACCAAAGTTCAGCCGGAATGTGCCGGGTGGAGGCTTTGGAGTTTCTTCCTGGAGATTGCTGCAGAGAGTTTAAGAGGCGTTTTCTTCCCAAAAATGAAGGCAGAGTGATTGTCCTGTCAAATCATTTCCTTAAAGTGGGCTAGTAGGGCTGCAGTTCGTCATGCACAGCGTGTGTGTGTGTGTGTGGGTGTGTGTGTGGGTGTGTGTGTGTGTGGGTGTGGGTGTTCGTGTGTGTGTGTGCTGTCTTTGGCTATGAAACACATTCTGCTCTGGGCTCGGTGCCAAACTGCACTGCACTTATGTAACCCCCTTTATCTCTCCCAACTTCTCTCACTCGCTCGAGTCCATTCATTCCTCTTTCTTCTCTTCTTCTTCTCTACACCGTTTTGCTGCTGACTTCATTTTTTACTTTCTGTCTTCCTCTTCCTTTGTCTGATTTGTCCTCTCCTGACCTCCGTCTGTCCGTCTGTGTAAGCATGACGCTGCAGATTGTTAAAAGCAACCGACACTCGTCGTTATGCACCACAGCCCCTCGCTCGCCTCCCCCTGCCCCCGCCGCTCTGCGAGTGTCTGAGTGAGATCACAGTTGGCATCATGAGCTATATATATTAGGTTGCACTCTTTACAGTCTGTCTGTCTGCATGCAGTCAATGAATTCAACGCTGCGGCCGCCACAGACACCTCCCACAGCTTGTTGCATTCAGCCGGGTTTTAATCAGTAGGAGTGGAGACAGGGAGAGTCTGTGTCGGAGGAAAAATGTGAACAACGTAGAAAAGTGAGAGTGCTCCCTCGCACCAGTGTTCACGCACAATGACTCTGGTTCTTGTTGGTCAGCTTGTCACTGAGGCCAACCTAAACATGCCCCAAAGGAAATCAGAATATCAGTGACTGTTGGCGTCAAATGTCTGGTCAGACTCGTAGCTCCTCATTTAAATCTTTTGTAGACACTGATATTAAGAAGTGTTTTGTGTTAAACTTTAAACACTTGGGAACTTTGGCGTCTTAATTAAACTGAAAAGAAAACATTTTGTAGAAAAAACATGGTGTAAAAAAACATATTTTATTTTATGTTCGTTGGAAGAAGTTCATTAAAAAATGCCAAAGGCAAAGGAAAGCTTATGTATCCAGACGCATTTACAAACAACATTTTAATTTTAATGAAATTTAAACTTTAGGAGAGGAGGTGCGCTTGTTTTTTACACAGGCCCCTGGGCTGTTAACATCCTTTGATGAGCTGTATAAACTGTATCATGTGGCTGTGTAAATCATGTGTCCATGAGTTATTAAAGTCGTATTTATAGAGTCTACTGATTTCAGGACTTTTCACATCAAAGTTATGGACTCAACTCATCAACATGAGAACGAATAGATGCTTTATTCTCGCAGGCGACTCACACCAGGAAATAACAGAAAATATTTGCATCTATTTTATCATCTCTGTCCTGTGCTGTTTGGGTTGAGCCAGGAACGTTCACATATTTCTATTTTTCTAACAGATTCAGTAAATAAATCATGTGTTGAAGTTGGTGTATCGACTCACTCGCCAAGTCTCGAGTAAAAATCAGAGTAAAGAAGAAATGATTGATGTTGATTTTTAAAAAAAAGTTTGTTGTGTCTTCCTCTTTCATTTCTGCCTTCAACACGCACAGACACACACACACACACACAGACACTTTGTGTGTTTCAGTGGTTCAGTGTCTGTGTGTGTGACCACCGGACCTGGATGTCTGTGTATTCGAGGTCATGTTGCGCTGTTAAACTTTGAGGTCAGAGAGGAGAAGTGTGTGTGTGTGTGTGTGTGTGTGTGTGTGTGTGTGTGTGTGTGTGTGTGAGAGAGCTCAGTGGAAATCTACTGACTGACCATTGTGACTGGTGACAGGACTTGTTAATGATTAATTAATCCACCCTTATTCAACGTTCTCATTCTTATATAATAATGACAGATGGTGTTGCATTAAGGGTAATAATAATAATAATAATAATATTGTTTTTCTTTTCTCAGTCAACATGGATCTTCATGACAAAGAAATTCTCCCTGGAGAGATTTTGCCTGTGGTGATCATCGGTAAGAAACACACACACACACACACACAGACACACACACACACACACACACACACACACACACACAGGTATGCATGCATAGTTGCACACTGTCATATATGCTGAGGGAAAGCTAAATGGAGCAACTAGATTAGTTTATGCGGTTGCTATGACGACTAACATTAAGCGTAGTTGTATGGGCCTTTCTTTCTTTCTTCTAACAGTTCTCACACTGTTATATTACCAGGCAACTAAGATGTAAACTCAACATGATGGATTAAGAAGGAGCGGCACAGTAGTGAGTCAGGAGGGTTTTCATCCAGCTGTGGGAAAACATCTGTAATAGAAGGGTCATTATTAAAACCTCTGTCTTTGTGAAACAACCCCTGGCTTCCTTGTATTTTGACACAGTGAAACAACAGGTTCACACACGTTGCTAATAACTGCTCACATGCTAAATGCTACATAGACAGGAAGTGTTGGCATTAGCCACAGACCGAGGTGTTGCACGAAAGTCTGAGGCAGAGAGTGAATCCTGAATGTTTGTGAGGCCTTAAGAGTGTGTGTTTACACTTCTGCTGTACGGCTGCCAATCAGGTTAGTAGCTCACCAGAGGAGAGACGACGCACCACGACCTTATGAGTGAACTGTTTACCGATTAAAGGCTAAATATCCCGCTTTAAAGATAAATAAATAAAAATGTAGATGTTTATTTTTCTCTGTGCAGAAGAGGTTTTGTCTTAAAACATTTAGTCGGTGACTTAAAAAGTGAAAGTGTGATAATCCATGAGTCATCATGATTAGCTGAGTAAGAGTTATTACTGTGTGTGTGTGCTTGTGTGTGTGTGTGCGTGTGCGTGTGTGTTCATGCTGAGTCATTGGCTTGTTGTGTGGGTTAATATTTGATATTCAAGCTTGTTGAGTCATGCTGCGGTCGTAGTAAGTCAGTGACTGTGCAGTTTCAATGTATACAGTATAATTTAGCTGTAGCTCTTTGTGTTATCCACATTTAGCTGCTGTGTCTTTATCAGACAGCTGGAGGAATTCATTTTATTAGCGACAAGTTTCAAAACCTTGGACAGTGAAGTTGTGCAGCAGTCACACAACATGCTTTCTGTCTACAGAAGTTTTACAGTTGTGATTATGAAAAGTATTTTGTCAGTTGTAACCATGGTAACCCAGTACAGAGACACAATATGCACACAACACGAACATCTACCAGAGCTTAATGTGGATCATCGGTGCAGTTAGAAACTAACTTCCCTCTGTCTCTGTGTGTTTCTCTCTTCGTTTCTCAGGTAACGGCCCATCAGGGATCTGTCTGTCATACCTGTTGTCAGGTTACACCCCCTACCTGTCACCTGAGGCGTCGCACCCTAACCCCCTGCTGCACAGCAAGCTGGGAGAGCAGCCTCACCTGTCGCTGCTGGAGCAGGGAACACACACACACAGACACACACACACACACACACACACACACACACACACACACACACACACACACGTACAGTAGGTTAGTATATTTTTTTAAAAAGATGGAGGTAAAGTTTTATCTGTAGAGTGAAGGATCAGGGAAGTGAACAGAGCCTCACGGCGTCTCTCGCCCTCTCTCTCTCTCCAGGATTTGGAGTACCTGTGCGAGGGGCTGGAGGGGCGATCGTCCAATCCCGTGGCCGTGCTCTTTGATTCGCTGCTGCTCCCCGACAGTGACTTCGGACTGGACCACACCTCTCCGCTGGAATGGAGATACGAGCCTGAGCGAGCCACCCCACACCTGGTGCTGGGGAAGGGTCCGCCTGGAGGAGCCTGGCATGTATGTAGCTGGAATCAACGATTATATACAGATTATTGATTATTCACACTGGTCCGCTTTGATGTTTGACAAGTTTGACAAACTGGCCTTTATTTTATATATTTATATAATATATTTATTGATTGATTTATCCTATATTTATTTTATATTTATATTTTTCCAGTTGATTAGTATTAACCCACGTGCTGACGTACCCTCAGCTTACAGCACAGAGGAGGGATATCTTGTTTTAAATTGGTAATAATGAAAGTGTTAATATTTTACTTGACATGCTAAAACCAGTTAGAGAACAGGGCCTTTGTTTGACTCCATGAATATGAAAATAAATGTACTTAGCAGACATTTTGGTCATGTGTGCAAATAAGCTTTGTTTTCCTTTGTCACCTGCCTTTTTTGCACACATTGCCAAAATGTCTGCTAAGTACATTTGTTTTGACAGATCACACAAGGTGAGCATGACTGTAGCTGTAAACAATACTGCGTGTGTGCTGTTCCCAGGCCATGGAGGGCTCCATGCTCACGCTGAGCCTGGCTAACTGGATGGAGCTTCCTGGACTCAAACTGAAGGACTGGATGAGAGACAAGCGCAGGTGTGTCCAACGTAAAACCAGCTAATTTAGCTCCACAGGACACGAGAGGCTTGTCCGCAGCTTTAACACTTTAATAATAAGAAAATGTTTTGCTTTTGTATTCCACTTCCAGCCACCTGTGTCTCTATCTTTGAGAAGTGTTGGCCTTCTTGTTGGCCTGCTGACAGTCTGCAGTTGAATAACCTGCAGGCATGTTAAAAGAAAATAACAGTAATGTACAACCCAAGTTTTACTGTAGTTTTATCGAATACATCTGTCGGTTTAAGACGTGTCACCAGTGAGTCACACAACAGGACATTATCTGAACTCCAGTGATAAAGTCACCGGTTCCCAGTTTAGGCCCCGAAGCTTTGAACCTCTCATGATTAAACTTCCTGATTAAACTTCATGATTAAACTTCTGTTTGGGCTCATGTCGGACAGAGAAAGGATTGTGATTATAAAAGTCAAGTCAACTTTCTCTTTACACAACAGGACGACCAGACATAAACACGGAAGTGTTGTATAAATAAACAGGAGCCACAGATCACAGATGTCCGTGTGTTACTCTCTCTCCTTAATTTGTTTTTCAAATGACTCAGTGGAACAAATCTTGATTTACATGAAATGAGTAGAACAGCTGATATAAAGGGACCCGACCTTTACGCTTCCTGTTCACTTATTGTTTAAAATAAATTTTAAAATAAAAGGTGTAATACAGCTTGTTACATCTTTTATTTTGAACTAGTAAATGTCACTGTGACTTGACACTATGAAAACAGAAGTCGTGCGTCGTGTGTTAAAACATTTGTTTGTGTGTTTTGTGTTAAAGTTTATTTTCATGTTTGTTTTATTCCAGAAATGTCCGAAATGACCGCGCCACGCCAGCAGAGATCGCCTCCTACTACCAACACTACGTTTCCCAGATGTCCCTGGAGCAGAGCTTCGCCTGTGGAACCACCATCACCTCGGTAACCAGGCAGCCCAGCAACCAGGAGGGGTCGCCGTCCTACTGGAGAGTGACGGGACTGCAGCGGCGAGAGGGGGAGGAGCTGGGAGGTACAGGGAACTAAAGCACTTCTGATTAATGTTGTCATATGTTGTTTAAAAATTAAAGAAAGTGACACCTAATACCCCCCCCCCTCCCCTTCCTGCTAGATGGTTCCTCTGTTTCGGAGGAGGTGCCTTTTTCCCTGTTGGCCCACAATGTGGTGCTGGCGACGGGGACGCACGACATCCCGGCCAGGCTGGGCGTGGAGGGCGAGTCCCTGCCCTTCGTCTGCCACTCCTTCTGGGAGCTGGAGGCCGCCATCTCTCGCGGTGAGCTCGACCAGTCTTCAGACCCGGTGCTCGTGGTGGGAGCGGGGCTCACGGCGGCCGACGCAGTGCTGGCCGCCCACCACCTCAACACGCCCGTGTACCATGCCTTCAGACGCTCGGTCACCGACCCGGGCCTCATCTTCAACCAGCTGCCCAAACTGCTTTACCCAGAGTACCACAAGGTGAGGAGAGTCTGAAACCTGGAGCCGCTCATCATCAGTCGATTCATCCATTAGTCGATCGCTAGAAAATGAATCTGTAACTAGTTTGATAATTAAAATTTCAGTAAGTTTTTTCAAGCAAAAATGTGAAACTCTTTCTGGTTCCAGCTTTTCCAACGTGCGGATTGATGCTTTTCTTTGTTCATCAGTCAGACAAAACAAGACATTTAAAGTCCTTGGGTTCACAACTCATTGATTCATTTAGAAAATAATTGGCAGATTAATCAATAATGAAAATAATTGTTAGTTGCGACGTTATTTTCCAATATTAAGTAACTTGATAAAAAATGATTTTCATTTCCTGACCCAATAAAGAAACTTCATGTGTGAAGTATTTAAGGAAAGGAGAGCGTCCCAGCCTCTACCAGCCTGTTTTATACAACCTGCTGAAAAGTCACATGTTTGATTAATGATGTAACAGTTAATTGATTCTCTAAATGACTGGTAATGAATTTCCTGCTTTCTGACCAATCACAAACTCAACTAATAGATAATTCTGTTCATTTTTTTTTCTGCTTTGTGGCAACAAAATCGTGACTTCAGGTTCAATACTTAAGTTACATCTAACTTTTTCCTGTCCGGCCTCCAGGTTCACCAGATGATGATCCAGCAGCAGCATCAACCGAGTCCTCCACCACAGGACCACGCCCAGAACCTCCGTCACCACTCCACCCCTTCCTCTCCTTCCTCCCTCTCTCCATCCCCCTCCTCCTACCCAGGTTACCTCAGCTTCCCGCGTCACAGGGTCGTGGAGTTCAGACCTGACCGAAAGTGCGTCCTGGAGTCAGACTCCGGCCGGCGGACGGTGGTCCAGGTCTCCAAGGCTCTGGTTCTCATCGGCGCCCACCCCAACCTTTCCTTTCTGGACGACAACGGGCGTCCACTCGGCATCAACCCCTCAGAGCCAATCACATGCCGAAGGAACCCGATCGAGGTGGACCCGTTCACGAACAACGTGGTTGCAGCAGAGGGGCCCGGCATGTACGCCATGGGGCCGTTAGTTGGCGAGAACTTTGTGAGATTCCTGAAGGGAGGCGCGCTGGCTATCGCTAGCGACCTTGCCAAGAGACAAAGAGAGGGAGAGGGAAGAGGAGAAGGGGGTGTGGCCACAGACAGATTAATGGACAAATGGGTGGACAGACAGGTGACCACACAGACAGAAGCAGAGCTCTGCGTCCGGGACTTGTAGCAGGTTTTCTTGGACTAAAAGGTCAAGCTAAGCTAACCGACTTACTCTGATCCAATTGAGATGAAACTGGAACTGCTGCGAACAAAAGCCACCGGTCATGTTTTCCAGAAACCAAACATGCTGCTGACGTGTTGTACGGCGGGAAACAGGCAACAAGTGCTCCCTACAGCTGGACTTGGGTCTGGTATCTTCGTAGATCCAACGTAGAGCCGGTTTGAGGCATCCTGAAGCAGCTTGAGAAACGCAGACAGTTGTGCTGGTAGGATCCAACAGAACCGAACGTTAGTAAGTTGGAGATTAAGACAGTGACGCTGTAGTGGAGGACGCGATGGAGGAGAGACAGACGGCGCCTTTGGGTCGCTCCCGCCAAATCACAATGCAAGAAAGATACACGTTTACCGCCTGGAGTCACTCTTCACCATAACTTCATCCCAGCAGGCCGCCAACGTCATTAGATGCTGATATTTGGTCGAATGGAGGTTGTAACGTCGGGTGACTAGAATTCAATGTCATGACAACGTCTTACGCCAATTTGACGTAGAATACTGACGACAGCTGACGTTGATATTTGGTTGCTTTTAAGTTTTAAGGGTGTTCAGTAAACAAAATCCCACATTTTCCAAAGTGACATCTTTACATGTGAAAAACCAAACGTCTGCTAAATGTCACAGTGTCAGTTTTGTCAGTTTTTCACAACGACCCGATTTTCATTTTCGTTTCAGTTCTGTGCAACAATAGAGTTGTTAAGAGTCCAACATCTGTCTGACGTTACACTGACGTCCGCCTGCTGGGATGTGCTGTGATGTTTCACCTCTAAGTGACAAGATACTGGATTTTTCAGGATATTGCTTTTAAAATGTTCGGGCTGACGCAGTCGAACAGATGAGTTTTGTGCCTGGCTTCTATTATTTATATCCTGCAGTGGATTTTTTCCTATTGGTACAAATCCAATGACCAATCATAACCTGTAAATGGGGCATGGACATTTTCTAACTTCTGGATTTGACACGGAGGAATCAGAGAGAGTTAGATGGAAATAAGACAGAGAGAGTAGAAGAGTAGAAGTAACGAGAAAGAGAAGAATGAGAAATAAATCCAGATAAACTTGAGTGAAGGAACGTTACAGCATCAGCTCTGGTTTCTTATCGCTCAGTAACTTCCAGGTTTGAGTTTAACCGTCAGCCTCACTTCTTTTTTTATTTTAATGTACGACGAGGATCATTAACATGTTCCCACAGTTAGAAATGTATTTTTCTGTTAGCTGTTTAACACTACACTGTCATACAAAGCTCATGTCACCAAAACAACTTGGTTCGAAATGAATTCCTGCTTCTTTCTTTATATTATTTTCTATGTGGTTGTTTGTATGTTATGGGTTTGCTGTTCTGTGAATCTGTGGTGCTCTATTTTTCTATGTCAGCATGATTTGTCATGTAACACGCAACTCGACCTACCTGATATCACTGTAAATCTCTGATGATTATGAAAAGATTTTATACGTATCATAACAAAAGAGAAAAATATATATATATTTTTTCTAATTCTTACTGGAAATGTTTAATTTGCAGCTGTTGAAACATCAGCGTTTGGCTTCACTGTGAACATTAATAACAATAACATAATAACAATAGCATTAACTGTTTTTAAAGCCCTATTGGCATTAGTGTAGTATTAATGGGTGTTATTTCCTCATGAATCTACCACTTCTCTAGCTTGTAATAATAACAGGGCAAATTCTGCTTTTAAAGGAAATCACGGGAGAAAAAAGATGTCGTGCAAATTGAAATCAGGTTGATTTCAGATGTAATTATAACTGTAAGATCAAGATGTACAAAACGTTCATTACAGAGTTTGACACAAATTCATCACTTATTGCTGTTGAATATTCGTCCCAATGTAAATAAGATTTAATGTCATTCATCCTTGGATTGGACACATACTGTAAATATTCAGTCGCGGCTAAATTTCTGTCAGGATTTGAGGCCAAACAGGCAAATTGCTGCAGATTCAGCTTTGCTGCTAGTGAAGAAAATATTTTATGATTTACATCCAATTTATATTTAGAACAATTTTTAAATGATTCTGAGAAATCTTAATTGAAGACGTTTGCTTCGATTTGTACCAGCACAGACTTCTGTTGATTCTTTTCAAAATAAGATTCACACTTATTTTATTTTTTAAATTAATGTCAGTTATCTTTGGAAGAAAAATGATGAGGTGAAGGCAAAAGCTCAAGTGCCCGACACACTGCAATAACAGCTCCCAGTACACCTAACCTGAGGTGATGAGTGATGAGAAGCAGTTTGATTTAAAATGTTACTTGTTACATTTCTTCTTACTGTCAAAAAATCCCATGAAAAAACAACTTCTATATTTCTTCCCTGTCTGTGACACTCAGCTCCGAGTCCACTGGTTCTTAATGAATCTTTAAAAACCAGTCTCAATGTCTAATGTAGGATATGGAGCATTTTTTTTTTTGGGGGGGGGGGGACTATTTTCAGCGGCGGATTAATACACGATTGGTGTTCCAGTGAGTATTTCCAGCAGCAGGACGGATGTATGTGGGATTGAGGTAAAATAAACTGGAGTGTTTGTTGATGGTGATGAAGGAACATGTCATCCAGTGCAAAGCTGTGTCTCGCTGATGTGTTTTAAAAGCTTTGGACACAGTGGAGATATAACAAGATAAATCAGCCTTTGATACACAGACAACACCTGTTAGTAGAATCAATTTATTGTTGGTTTTAGTCTTTTTTGGGGGGATTTTTTCCGACAGTAAGAAAAATACAGACATATCACTCCTTTAATGTGTTGGCAGTTTTTCTTGCTACAGTCTGTTACATTAGATTCAGGCTGGATCTGCAGATTACAGTCAATCAGGTTTAACATTTACTTATAATATACTAACATATAAGATAAACAGTTGTTTTCACTATTAAGTTCTGAATTACAAACTAAAAGTAAAAACAAAACATTATAGTCCTTACTCTACCATAGTACTGTATAGTATAACTGATGCCCAGAACTAGGGCAGCAACTAGCAATTTTTACATTGATTAGTCTGCTGATCATTTTCTCAATAAATTAATCAACTGTGATCTATACAATAAATACGCCCATCACAAGTTTCCAAAAGAGAATCTGAAATCTTCATATTGTTTACAGTCAGTCAAAAACCAAAAGATATTCAGTTTAATATCGTACCAGATCATATTTTTGTGTAAAAAATAATTAAAATAATAATAAAATAAAATAAAAGCTAATTAATTAATTGGCTAATTGTTTCAGTTCAACTACTCACAAAGTTGAATTAAAAATAAAACCCCTGTTTTAAAATGAGCATCCTACGTACTTATTATGTGACATATGTTTTTATGTAAGCGTTAAATCTTTGCAGCCTTTATTTAGATCTGACCTGAAGCCTCAATGCTAACAGTGAACACTGATCTGCAGGAGCCAGCGGTGCCTTAAGACACATTATCCACACCAGTACCTTTTATATCAAGTCTATGTACTGTAGATTTTGTTCCGCAGCAGAACGAGAACGCCTCCATCTGAATGTCGCTTTTGTTACAAAGTAAAAATCATGTCCAGTCTCTTTTTTTTTTAACAACTTATTTGCAGATGTTTTCCGTCTTGTTTGTATGAATGGGCTGATTCATGTATCCAACATAATCTTCCCTGTGTAACAGTCAAATACAAGTTTGCAATATTCGCTTGTCTGTTGGTTTCTATTAAACAGTTTCTCAGCCAAACTGTTCTGTTGTGTTTCTCTGTTCGGTGTTTGCTTTAATCTTATGTTATTAACCTGGTTTATACCGAACCAGTGATACAGAAACATGTAGTTTCTTGTGCACGCAGGATGTTTAAGTTTTTAAATGTCAAGTTGTGTCGTAATGGGTTAAATCTTTGCATCTTTCAGGCCAAAGTACAGAGGGAATGACGCAGCATAATGTAGTTCTCGCCATGATAGTTTCATCGATTATATCTTTCAAATGTCTGAGAATAATTAACCATTTGTTTGGTTTTAGGAACAGAAACTTTGAAATTTGAAAATCAGGTCAAGGGCAAAGTCGAACAAACCAAACACCAAGTGAAACACAAACCCTGTAGAATCAGGAGGTAAAACAGAAGCAGAAGAATATTTAATTTCTTATGATCCTCAGGTCAACCTCTATAAAAAGAGAAGTGAGTTGGATTGTAGTATATTACATTACATTTTGTCAGTGCAGTTTTTACAGTATAATTTGTATTTTAAAAATTTACATGGGATTGAAGATGTGAACCAGTTACTCGCCCTTTGAAATCAACCTGCCAAGTTAATTTGCTGAAGATGACAGAGCTGACATTGATAATCAGGTATTTACAGGTTATCTTTTGACAGTGACTTACAGTGAGAGATCAGTGTATATAGTGTAAACACAAAAAATATCTAACAAAGAAGATCCTCTATAAATTAAATTGACTTGACATTACTCCCATCTAACCGTTATTTACTTTACACTGGAGTCTTTTGTTGATTAAATGAAAACACTTTTACTGACAGGGTTTCCAGTGGTGAAACTGTTTCAGTGACAAATAGACACAATCTACATACACTCACTTGTTGATTCACCATCTGTCTCTTGACTCTCTTTCCCTTTCAATCCTTTCTGTTGTCAACCAGCTTTTCGTTTTGATGCTCCAGTTTCTTTTTTTGAGCATATATGGTGTCATCTGTTAATGCTTATCAAACTGAGAAAGCAAACCACCCTTAACATGAAAAAATAAAAACAATGAGAGGACATTTTAAAAAAAATTAAAGATCATTTCCTTTTAAAACATTTTTAAACTTTATTTATATTTTAATTTTTAAAAAATAAAATCACATCCTTTCAAAAAATGTTTACTATAATGCAAATAATTTGTTGGTCCGCTTGCAGTACCGTTGCTGTCCACCAGTGGGCCCCAGCTCACAGGTTGGGAACCACTGGTTTAGAGTTTATTCTCTGCATGCACAAAAAAAGGCCATTTCAAAGTATGTGATTTGATTCAGTGTTGTTATAAAAACAAAAATATGTCATATTAAAAAAAAAGCCGCATCACTTTCTGGTGTGATCAGAACAATCTACTGTAAAAGTTCATTGAACTGAGTCTGATTCTTACTTCCACATCGCTGCAGCAAAATGAGAACTTCAAACAGATGGTACCTTTATATTACAGTCTTTATACTAGATTGTACTTTGTTTTCCTTTGTTTTTTACCCCTTGTGGCTGTTTGAAAGTACAAACCCATCTTTGATTGAAGGTGGTCTGCAGCACACCTGCACTGAACCAGGTCACTGCCTTGATTGTACATAAGAACCTTATTGTTGACAATTATCCTGTTCTGATGATATCGTAATGAAATATGAAGCTCTACAGTCTTTTCTTGATGTTTCTCTTGGTTCATTCAGACATTTCAAACATGTCAACAACATCAAACTTGCAAAAATCAAAAATGCTGCTAGATTGGAAACTTGTTACAGTTTAGTTGAATAAAAAATATTGTTTGTGATTCAAACATTATAATGAATCATACAAACAGAAAATTAAAAGCATACACACACTACATATCCCCAGCCACTGTTTTCCTCTTACCTCAGTGTCAGTTGGTGCCTCTGGTCGGCAGGTGTCACTGTTGATTTAAATGAAACGCAGCACTGAGCCCTGAGCTGGCCTGGAGCTTGAGTGTCAAACCTTAAAATTAATAAAATCCAGTTCAGTGTTGATCATATGACACAGACCTGTTGCGAAAAAAAGTGGGGGGGGGGGTAAAAAAAAAATAAAAAACAAGGGGTTTAGTGGTTGGGGAAAACCCTTTTTAAAGAGCCAATATGTCCAGTCCCAATCACTTCCAATAACAACACTTAATCTATCTACAGAAATTACCAATGGCCTATATTATTGATCTTTTTATATTTACACTTGTTTTATCCTTGTGTGTATGTTATTTGTGTGTTGACTAATGCTTCATATGTGTGTTTATTGAATTTTATCTTATATTGTTTAAATTGTATGTACCAATGAGGAGATGCACTACATTTCATTGTACAGCTGTGCAATGACAAATAAAGGCATCTATTCTATTCTATTCTATATATAATCAAATCACTGACTGGACCAGATCCCAGTTTTAAAAATAGAACGACATTAAAGATTTATTGTTTTATAATATTTGGATTATTGTGCAGAGAAGCTGATGCTTTGGTCTCCATAGAAACCACTCTGGTGTTTGGTGGGTAAGCTGGATGTGGTCCCGTGACTCAGCAAAACACGCATATGTCCAAACACATACAAACACCCCTGTGGCATGCTGGTTGCCGTGGCAACCGGACCGGTAGGAAGTCTGCTGTTCCTGTGACTCAGCTTGTTGCCTGGCGAATCAGTAAAATTCACTGTGACGCACACAAAGTGTGAAAGCTTTGTGTTTATTATCGGCTGGTGGCTGCGTGATATGAACAGTGGGTCTCTGATAAAGTGGGATTCAGTTACAGCTGTATGTTATCATTAGTGGGTCATGTAGCTGTGGTTTCCTGTCACTTCCACGCTGCGGTGCCTTTTTACAGTTGAAGACAGAATACAAGAGAACCAACTCAGTGGAGAGTCCACACATGAACCTGCCCACCGTTAAACATTAATGAGCAGCATATGCACTTTTAATAGAGTTTTAATTCACTACAATAGAATTTAAAGCTGATATAAGATAGATAAGATATTCTAATAAGACTACTCTTATAAAGGATATATGAATGGTTTTAACTAGTTCATTAATTAGCTTGTTAACACTTTATAAATCATTTATAAGCTGTTATAACACATAAAGGGCAACAGTGCTTGCCAAATAGTGAGACCACATTTTTCTGTACTGTGAAGCCTCGTATCTCATTAGTTCCTGAGTTTTCTTTGTTTTCTCCACCATCCAGCGTTTGTTCCTGTCTGCCTCATCACATGTTGTTGTTACTAGCAACTAACCACCGTCAATATCTTCATGGTCAAAAAGTTTCATTTGGCAGATTAAATTATACTTATATTTATACTGCGTGCTGTTTAAAAACTGTTACCTAAACACAAATGCCTCACATCCCAAATTTTGGCTTGTCTGATGGCAACACTTTTCACTCTGTGTGACGCTGAGATCAGGTATGAACGTTTCGATTTCTAACATGTTCAGATAACACGTTGTATGAACCGCCTGTTGTGGCCCTAAGGGTAAATGTAGGTCACACAAGCTCCCAGAGAAACCAGCATGATCAACACTGACAGTGGGCGACTTCGGCTGCCTACCTGCATACTGATGACCTCGTTTGGCTCAAACTCAGGAGAAATGTGGAAAAAAATGCAGCACAGACATACTCTGCAAAGTTCAAGGTCATTACAGCAAAAACAGGGTGTAAAGTTACATGCATTTTATTCAGCTTTTTTCCCCTAATTATATTATTTACTTGTGGTCTTGTAGCAGATGTTTCGTGGGCCTGTGCTCTTCTATTGGGAAGCACTGTTCGAAAGAAACTGAACTCTTCCCTCCTTTTGTTCTTCAATATACAGAATGTTTTTCATATTTACACTTTGCATGAGATATTTTTGTACATTAAAAATTATACATACCATTAGTTTGCACATCCAATTACATTTCATACCTTTTATTTTATTGTTTTATAAAATAGTTTGGGTTTAATAGCTACAAAGTGCATTTAGTGATTACCTCTGTTTACCCTCTGGTTATATGTGTATTTTTTTTTCCTCTGTATCCAGTTGCTGTTTAATGCTGCACCAACAGAGGATTAGGAGTTTACTCTGATTCCCTGTGTGAATTGGCAGCTGTTTACTTTCACTCTGCTTCCCTTCTCCTTCTCACCTCTGCTTCAGTGAAGTCTCAGTATGTTCTTCCGTTTGGACAAACTCTTTTACGTTGCTCTCTGTAGCTCCACCCCGCCGGACAGCCGCGTTTTCCACACACAACATACCTCCACCATCCACACACACACACACACACACACGCACACACGCACACACACACACACACACACACACACACACACACACACACACACACACACACACACACACACACACACACACACATGGCAGTGTAAAGTTCACCGAACTCAGCGCCAACAGGAAACTAATATAGAAAATAAAATAAAAGCTTAAAGACGGTCATTTTAAAATGGAGGAAAATTATTAAAATAAACAACAGCATTTATAAGTGTCAAGTTGTTTTTTTTTTTATCAATACAAATGCTTTTATATGTAGTGGTGATAAGTGAGACAGGTTTCATAGAAGTGGCCAGGTTGAGGCCAGTGCTCACTTTGAAGTGGCACAGAAATGATCTTAATGCTGTACTGAGGTTATTTTACAATGTTTACTAATGGTCAAAATGTCCCTCATAGTTTGTGGATGTGCAATAAGAGATAATCCTTTCATTTATTTTCTATTATAATTATAATTATTATTATTAATACAATTACTAGCAGCTTGAACATGTTCTTACTTTCATCTAAAAAAATGTAACTTCACTTAATTACGATAGACAGCTACCAAGCACCACACTGAGATCATCATAGCATTATACACAACCTGATATAAACCATGCAAGCATGCATCAATCACAGAGCCTGTCAAACACTATACAACAGCAAACCAGTCATAAACATGAACACACAGTCAGAATGAAATGTCCTTATATTAAAATTATTTTTATTCTCACTCCGCAAAATACTAAATCCAGAGCTGTGGAGAAAAGCTCATGCATAAGACAGCTATCTATCTATCTATCTATCTATCTATCTATCTATCTATCTATCTATCTATCTATCTATCTATCGAGTTTGGAGGCTTTAATTTTGAAATTCTCGGCCGGATGTGTGGTCCGTCAGTGCGGCTAACTTGAAGCGGTGCTCGGGGAGACACTCATTCACTTCAGGTCAGGACTCCCATTGGAGTAACCGGAGGGAAGGGAAACGGCCGGCTCTGTCGTCAAAACTCGCTGGAAAACAACGTGAAATCCCTCGGATTCACTTCTGAAAAACAACGAGCGGGGGACTTACATCCGAGCCGGACGCCAGATAAGAGCAGTACCGATTTATTTCGGAGGACTTAATTGATCGCGGGCTGTGTATGTGTGTGTTTTCGTTTGGAGAGCCATACACACGCACACGCACACACACACACACATACACACATACACACACATACACTCACACACTCACAGTCACAGGTTGCTAACGGAGTTAACGCTAACCTAGCTAGCCAAGTTAGCTCCCCGCGGTTAGCTGTGTTTTCCCTTCACCCGGGACTAAAAGCAGCCGGGGCTGAAGTTAAGAAAAAAAACTGTCAGACATTTTTCCAGACAGTCTGCTCCGTGATTCAGTCATGATGTGGTGGTTTTTCGGACGTTTATCAAGTTGGCCGGCCGGTAGCATCGGCTGACTGAAGCCTAACGTTAGTGAGTCTCTGCTTCTCCGACCTGGATTTTACTCCGGTGTGTTTTTTTTCCTCGTTTTTCTGCTTTTCCGCTGCTGGTCTCTCTCTCGTTTTTAAAGGTGGACTTTGCCCTCGGGGTGTTGTAACTCCCCCTCCATATTAAATAAAGAGCCTCTATTGATTCTTCTGTTGGAGTATTTCAAAACTTGGCTGGATTTTTTTTTTTTTTTTTTTTTTTTTTTTTGGGGGGGGAGGTAAAAAGTTTGCGTGTTGGGAAGTTGAGGAGGATTTTTTCCGAGCCTGTGGAAAAATGGATGCGGGTATAGAGAAGGAATGCAGCGCCTTGGGAGGGCTCTTCCAGCTCATCATGAACGACATGAAGGTAAAAATCAATTCTAAATAACTTTTCTATCCCCTTTTCTATAAGTCCTCTCTGTGCATCTTCTCATTGTCTTTATTGCTTTTACATTTTATATTTAGAAGTTGATTTCCCTTGAAGGGCATTTTAAAAATTCATTTCCAGAACATTTTACATGTTTCTTATTATTCCTCCTCTTTTTATATCTTTTTTTTTCACCCCTTCTCTACCTTTCCATTTCATCTTGCAGTTGTTTCTTTTTAGCTTATTTCTTTTTTAGAAAAATCACACACTTTACATACTGAGTGATATCAAAAGATTTAAATGAAACCTAATGAAGTGGAGCTGATGAAAATGAATCGGTTTGTGTTACAACTGGAGGCCTGAGTTGGCTGCTCCATTCATTCTTCATGGAGATTTTCCTGCATTGCTTCACTTAACATTTGCACTTCCTCAAATATAATATCCATGTTTTCATTTCCTCTAGAGCTGCAACTAGTAGTTGAGCAATTGATTTGTCAATAATTTGATGATGGATTCGTCGTTTTAGTCAGTTTCTGGTGAAAGATTCTCAGATGTTTTGTTTTGACTCTTTTTTGTTTGTCACATAATCATTATAAACTGAGTAGCTTTAGACGGAACAAGCAGTTTGAACACATCATCTTAAGCTTTGGAAAATTATAGCAGGCACTTCTAACTATTTTATGACATTTCAAAGACAAAATGATCAATCGATTAACCTAGAAAATAATGAGCAGATTAATATATACTGAAAATGATTATTAGTTGCAGCCCTAATTTCTTTATTTTGTTATGGCATTCATAACCTCATACGTCTTAGATTGGTTGAGCCATAAAGTACTGGAAAGCTGAAAATAATGGTGAAGAGTGGGTGAAAAAAAAAAAACCTAAACGCAGAAACTGAATGAGTTTAAGATACTTAAAAAACCTTGAAATATGGGTTATTAAAGGCTGGATGTTGAGCGACTGGATATGATGAGTGCTGGTGATGTTGATTGGGTAATGAATGAGCAGAGGTTAAAACTGGAAGTGGGCCATGTGAGAGGGTAAGAGGGCTGGATGGGGGTGGATTTTGCCAGCTGTGTGCTCTTTGATGTTTGTTAAGCAGGCTGCCCTTTGCTGCCTGTCTGCCTGTCTGTGTTTCACTGCTCTCAGATGTTCATCGTTATCAGCCTCTGTTTTCAAGTCGAGCCTGAACGCATCGTTTTGTCCGAAATAGCCAGCAAAGGCTCTGCTGCTAAAGGAGATGACATAGGAGCTTTCCCAGCACATCTACAGGGCTGATTTACAGTCTGGTTTTAGCTTTTCACAAATATATTGACAGCTATATGTACACGCTGGACAGGAAGTAATGACAAACTGCCATACAGTTGAGCCATGCTAAACTAATACTGGTAAACAAAGGAGATTTTTCCCTTTTTATTGCACTAATTATCGTTAGGTGTTCATTTTCAATTGAAGTTTCCTGTTTGAATTTTAGTGTTATGTTGTTTTTCAATTAAACGTCCCTCATATCTTGGCCACAACTCCTCAATAGAGAGCTGAAGTGAAAGCAGAAGGTGCAGGTTCTGTTCCAGATGTAAGAAAACCTCATTCACAATCCCACTGACATGTGTAATGACGCTAACAACTTAAAACCCAGCCTCCGAACAGAGCCTCTCTCAACAGTCTGTCATTTTGCAGGCTTCATGTGTTTAGATACGGATGGTAGTTTTATAAAAATGATCTAATATTGTTGTTTATTTAGTATTTATGTTATTAACAGACTTTATAATGAACACCATTTCCCATAAGACCCAGACGTTTGTGAGCTAAACATGAGTCTGTGAGTGATTCAGGGGGTCGAGGTTAGTTCAGACTTATGTGTAATAGCAACAGGACTGAGAAGAGTTTCTTCTGTAGTTTCTCCATGCGAGCTGTAGTATTTTCAGTACATGTTATTATTTGTACTCTGCTGTAGTGGATGGTGATTTTCCTCAGAATATGGAAAATAATCCACAAGAACATGCCCCCCGCCCCCCCACCCCCCCCACTCCCATTGACTTGCTGTGTGGAAAACTGCATACCCTGCATTACTGTCAGGGTGACACAAAAACAGATGCTGTGATACTCATGCAACGTATGTGAAACTACTACAGTAGTAGTTCTGTTTTTCCACATGGTGTCAGATTCACAAAAACATTTTTTTTTAATAAGGTTTAAGTCTAAAAGCTGTAGCCAAAGAATGAGGCTGCATTCGCTGCTTGGCCTCGCTAAAGTCGACGCTATTATAGACGTAACATGAAAGCTTTTCTGTTGGGATTTTCAGTGCTGCAACAAACTCTCTTAACTGGGCAGACTCATGAATTGCTGATTTTAACCCGGTGAAAGCCACCTGTTCATGAGGAGGTGTGCCTTTTTGAGATTGGATCATTAGCATAATCAAGACCCCTGAAATTGCCACGTAAGGTTACCTGCTCTGCTCCTTTAGCGGGCAAGTTGTGTTCACAAAATTGTAGGGCTGCGACTATCATTATTTTATTATTATTGAATCTGCCAGAAAGTAGTGCAAGATGCCCGTTACAATCTCCCACAGCCCAAGGTGACGCCCTTCATTCAACCAACAGCCCAAAATCCAAAGATACTCCATTTCGTCTCATGCATGACAAAAATAAGCATCAAATCCTCACATTTGAGAAGCTGGAAACCGTAAATGTCTGGAATTTTTTCTTTAGTATGATTATTTGATTATTTGATTATTATTTGAATAGTTGCAGATTATTGTTGCAGTGTGACAGACTGAAATAAAGAGGGAATCATTAGACATGAAGTTAGAAGCTGAAAAACACATTTTAGGCAACGTGACTAATATACGAGATGGTCAGTGGGATGTGTGTTTGCCGAGATGTTTAAAAAAAGACAATATAGTGAGTTACAGTAGATGATGTTACACTGTCAGCTGCAGCTGAGGATGATACTGGATGAAGACCTGCGGAAAGACCCTGACCAGCTGTCAGAGTGAGTTTATCCTTGCTACAGCTGAACTGCAGAGGATGCTTTTAATTCTGCGTTAACTTATGTTTTATTTTTCTTGATTTCTGTATCACATATAAGCTGCACATTTGACGATGACTCAGTCTGAAAATATACAGGAATGTTGTGTAAGAATGGGTGTTCAGATGAATCACAGAATTCGTAGTAGCCCTGCTGTTTGCACTTCTGCTTCCTTAAGGTTAGATGTCCTGTTTTCTGAACAATAGACTCCACAGTTTTCGACTAGAACTCTTCGATCCTGATTCAAACAGACCTGCCTCTCTGACAGGAAGGTCACCTTGCTGTTGTGAGTGATTGTAAATCACCCGAGAGGCCACAGGTTGGATCTATGCAGGATGAGGAATGTGAGGAAAATGAGGACGGTCTCATTTCATTCTGAACGTAAAACATTTTGGATGAAACGTGATGGGACTTGCAGACATCCTGTGGTGAGAACAGTACACGAGTCACTTCTGCTGTCAGATAATGGGGAAGAGGGATGGTCATGGTGGTGTGTGTGTGTGTGTGTATGTGTGTGTGCGTGCTATTGATTCAGAGCTTGTGGCATCATATCCTGGTATCTTACCAACATGGCACAGGTGGTAAGGGAGCACTTCTGCCATCTGCCCCCCACACACACACACACACACACACAGACACACACACACACGCACACACACACATGCACACGCACAGAGAAGTCATGTCTAATTAAGTAGAGAGTTGCTGTTCAGATAAATCTCTCCTTAGGGCATCATAACACGCCTGTGAAGAGCTCACACTGAATCAGTCAGCAGACATGAAGGCACAGAGGCTTGCTGCAGATTATAGGTCATTTTGTGAATTAACCACGCAGCCATTTAAAGGAAAAATAGAACATTTTATTATTGTTGTGACATGAATTCCCATAAGATATCCAACCTAAGTACTCTGAGTAAGCACTGAATTGTGTTGAAGCGCAGTGTGTTGAGAAGTGTTTGTCGGGGGCCAAAGACTCGGTCGGCCCTCAGCCCTCACTATCCGTGTAGATGCACAGCTTCGCAGGGAGCCAAACACACTTCCAATAAAGGCTGACGACAGCAGATCAAGAGCAGATTGGTTTTTTTCTGAAAGCAATCGTGAAACTCTGAAAACATTGCCAGGCAAAGAATTCAAAGATGGTGATTATAAATCAGTAGGCATGGCATACGAAATAGACCTTGGAGTCTTGCCTATCTCATCAGTCAGGGAGGGGCCATAGAATTTGGTTTCAGATTCGAAGAGACTCATAAAAGCTCATTTGAGTAGTAGAGTCGTTTTTACACACAGTATTAAACACTTTAGCACCAAAATTAGCAGGTATAAGCGTTTTTTTAAATGTAGGAGCCAATAAATACCCAAATCTACCCACAGTGTGAATGCCGATATTAACCAGATGTGCACTCTGGATGGGATTAAAATCACTGACCAGTGCAGGTAATGTGAAAATCATCCCACCTCCACCTGGAGAAATAAATTCAGATTGAATGCGGGCCTCTTTTACGCTGCAGTATCTTGGTCTGCACTGTTAAAATCGAGTTATTATAACTTGTTCCAAGAGGTTGTTTTTGAAGATTTTGGAAGTAGGAAAGAAACCGAGCTGACTTTCAGCTTGTGCTCTGAAGCTTATGGTCTGACAGTCCAACTCAACTCATTTCTTTAAATATGCATAACCTCCCAAGGGACGGGTGTCAATCACGTCTTCAGTCTTTCTGCATAATAGCAGAAAGATATATTGAAACGTGTTTAAAGGAATATGTCACATCTCAGGATGAAGTCGGCGTCCTGCAGAAGCGTCATGGAACCTTTACGTTCTACTGGAGGGAGACAGACAGATTATTGATTTCTGTCTCAGCTCTATCAGGGGTGACATTATAAGCCATCGACCTTCCACACTCTTCCATCTCTGCTCGCATCCATCCCTCCATCCTGACACGCTCAGTACATACCTTCACTCTCCCTCTCTTGCTCTT